CTTGGAAAAAGATAAATTTAATAAATCTATTTCAACTCCTAAAATCACACAAAGAATTTGCAGATGCGATCAAATACAGAGGAGCCTGTAAGTTGGAGCTAGAAAGATCACACGAAATCATCATTAACACATCCGATGGCACCAAATTTAAAACGGAGACGGAGAAGGCTGATCAACTGGCATTCCTGAACATCTGGATCATCAGAACGCCGTCAGGAAAACTGGGGACAACTGGCCTACCGCAAAGCAACGCATACGGGGACTATGTTCGAAAGAACCCAAGCGCATTGCGGCACTGACATACTCAAGAAGAAAGAAGAATGATACCACTTGAAACTATTTTCTCGCAACGGCTACACCTGTAATCTCAGCAAAAGAACTCTGGCTCAAAGAAAGAACGAAACAACAGACGGAGAATCGGGAACAAGAACGACCCTGCCGTACATCAAGGACATTTCCGAAATGACAGCAAGACTGCTCAGATCGTATGGAATCCAAGTCGCCCACAAACCGATCGCCTGTCTAAGGAGACTTCTGTCAAAACCAAAGGAGAGAACAATGGACAAGGATAAGAACAGTGATATCTACAAAATAAACTACAAGAACTGCCTAAAACATTATATCAGACAAACTGGGAGAAAATTGTCAAGAAGGATCCGTAAATATCAATCGGCAGTCAAGAGGCATGACCCACTATCGTTGATTCTCTTGCACGAATATCAAGAAGCACATCAATTTGACTTCGAATGAGTGAAAATCATTGACGACGATCGGTCAAAACACATCGGGGAATTTCTCGAGGTATGGCTATCTTCAATCAACTCAGCAAATAGATAGATAGTTCGAATTGGATCACGTGTACACACCAATGCAAGTCACGGGTCAAATGATGCAAACAAAAAAGGTCACGTTGTAACTTGAGAAAGAACAAAAACCCNCCCCCTTCGCACCAGTTCAACGGCAAACTGAGTCGAACGCAGTGAGAACAAGGGACTAAGAACACTACTGAAAATTCACAATTTACATTGTTGTTTGATAGATTAAAGTTTTATATTGTGATTGTGAGAAGTTCGGTAGCCTCGGTGGGATTCGAACCCACGTATGGACGTCGCCAACACTTTTGTGCAGCTGAGCTACCAGGCCACACCGACAGAGCACCGATCTTCTCACATTCGAATTACTCATCCAACTTACAGAGGCANNNNGGCATATGATATCATACAGTTAACATGTAAGCTGAATGCCTCGACAGGTTTTCCTTAGAATTCACTGGAGTCCACCGATCAGTGCTATCGTTGTGGCCTGATAGCTCAGCTGGTAGAGCCTGCGCTATACAAAAGCGTAAGCGGCATCCATGCATGGGTTCGAATCCCACCGAGGCTACTGAACTTTTCACAATTTGTTCATTTGTGTGGCACTAACAGACCCGGTGAGGAAAAATACTGGTTAAATGAGCTTTAAAATCACGTATGCGATAGAAAAATACAGACTATCAGCAAGGAAGAGAACAGGATGGAGGCAATCGAGAAATGAAGGACCCAAGGTTGTGGACTCTGCATTCGAAATGAGTGTTGTACGAATGACAATAATCCCCGTACGTCTTTTGTTCCTGAGTCAACAGTCCAGGTCTTATTTAAATACGTTTCAAATTTGGCACTGAATCGTTTATAACCACCAAATGGACGTTTCATGAAACATTTAGTCAGATCAAAACTCTAAAACAAACTCGTTCCATGAATGTCCTAAATTGGGATCATTGATCAGCACTATCGAAATAAATCGAGCTGTTCCACATCTAGTTACCGCATAGTGCAAATAGTCAATCTAGGTTTACGTGCTGTACAAAAGCTAGGATCCTGCTTACCTCAGAGACAACTCAGATTCCCGCCAAAACCAAAACTGGTAGACTATGCCCTGAGTTGCATGAACCCGTGTGCGTGTGTGCTGATTTGTGTCAGTGCTCACTTACCGTTCGCCGTTGATCGATCCGATGTCAACTGCGTTCAATCGATTCCGCAATCTGGGACATCAATTTTTGACCTAACACACACACACACACACACACACACACACACACGAATCGTGTCACTCCAAAAAGATCCGCAATCTGAGCCGTCTCGAAATGATTATGGGAATTAGGCTATCAGTTTCCAACCCCGCACAGCGCACCGGCACCCGCACCGCACACACCTTGTCTGTTAGTTTGTTTCTGACTTCGCCCGGATTACACTCTCATTCGACCCGGTCCTCACTACCCCCCCCTCCCAGTGTATTCAGAAATCGGTTGATGCCTAATCCCAGTGGACAATCTCTCTCTCTCCCCCTCGTCGGATGAGTGTAAATATCATGTTTGAGAATGACCGTTGGTTCAGTTGCGGAGAGTCGGTGCAAACATAAACCCATTTTATCTGATACCCAGTTGTGACTTGTTGTGATGTGCATATGTATTTTCGATGAACGAAGCAGGATGATAGTTAGTTTGAAGAAGGTGACACGTCGCTGGATGGTGTGAGAGGCCGGTGGTTAATGGTTAATGAGAAAATCAAAGCTAACTAACGGTTTTAAAAAGCTGGCAGTCGACTAACTTGAACGTGTACCGCTGAAAAATATTGTAATCTTTGTACGGTAACAGTACACATCTCGTGAACGATGAACCGATTTAGCACTGATGTAAAATGTGGATAGAATAGCGGTAGCATTTGAGCATTACGGTGTTGCACTGGCGGACTGGAATGATCACGTACCGTCGGTGATGTCTAAGACAGATATTTATTTCCAAAGGACCGTCAGTGGTCAAATAGGACACGTTGCTTTTTGATTTTTGACTCATTCTCTAATTATTTGTTCTCCCGGAAGTCGTGTGATCGAACGTGCAGTTCAAATACAATTGGATTTCTTTGGCACAGTATAGATCGCGAGAAATAGTTTACCAGATGATACGTAAGTTCCACTGACCGGTTGGAGCATTGGCTTACACCTGGCAAGTTATTGCAGAATGCAGCTTACAATCAAAATGTAAAGTTGAATTGGTTCAAATGAGAATGAAAGCTTCGAACTATAAGTGCGGTTCTCAATTCTATCCTTGCCGGTGAAAATTGGTCATATATCTATGCATATTAATCATATGTTTCAAATACGTCTGGATCCAGACTGTGCCAAACAACTCTCTATAAAGAGAAAAAGTTCCATGATTTGTTCGTGGGCGCATTACTCCCAGGTTTCTCAAGTCAAACAAGATGAATTTTAATGGGGAGTTCGTAACAGGGGCCTTTTAATAGCCAAAGTCTGACCCGTAATGTAGTGGGACGGTGTGTTCATACCAGAAACCATCGGGGACCGATGTCCAATTCATCGGACCATACATCCTTCGGACGGGGTCAAACGTCCAAGGTGACCACTTCACGGTTATGGCAGTGATCACTAGCTTGATAGGACATNCCTCAATGTCCTATCAAGCTAGTGATCACTGCCATAACCGTGAAGGTGTTGTTCATACGCCTCTTCTGGGTTAGTTTGAAATCAGGGTTTTTAGTCTATCCCCCTCCCTAGCTGAACTGCCAGCGGTTCATTTACTCGTTTATAGCCCAGGATTACAGCTTTTCGTTCTCTCACTTTGATGGGAAAGCAGCTCTGCTACGAGAATGCACTGAGTAGGGCTTCCTCAGCAGGGGCTGTTTGAAACGCTTCGTTCTACGGGAGCATTTCACGAAATGAAAAGGAAGTGTGATGAGCCGCAATCCGGGACAGGCACCCCCGGGGAAAAAAAAGAGAGTAGAAAAAATTGCATATTGGTTAATGGGTAAATGAACAGCTCTTATAATTGTCCCATTTTGGATATGTGGATGTGAGAGGATGATGATGAAGATGATGATGATGATTCCGATAGTGAGACGATGATGAGGATGATGATGATGATTCGCACGATGATGATCAAAATGATGATGATGATTCGGATGATGATGATGATGATTCGGATGGGGATTCGCATGATGATGATGATGATGGTGATCAGATTGATGATGATGATGATGATGATGATGATGATGATGATGATGATGATGATGATGATG